ACAGAACCCTACCGATTAATCCTCTCGTCAAAATCAAACTCCAAAACCGACATCCAATCCCTTAAGCAGGATTCATCATCTTCTTCGGCTTCCAAAGCACTAACACATGAGGTGATTTGCCGCCTTAGGTTTCTGAAAAAACCGGTGACTTTGTTCGAAGAAGTTGATGTGCCGAGAGGAATAGGGGTTTAATGATTTTGGAGCAGGGACTTATTTTCTTTCTTTTTCTTTGTATTTTTTTATTTTAGATTTTTTTAATAAAAATTATTGTAGTGACGCGCTTAGTTTAGGTGATTTGAACATAGTTTGTCCTTGTCACCTCTGTTACTGCCACATGTGCATGGTCAACGATTAAATATGTTTATTAGTTATCAAATATACAAGTTCGAGTGTTCAAATGGAAAAGTCCAAAGTTTGTGTATCGGCTTTCAAAAGCCCTACAAGTTTAAGTGACCAGGAAGCCATTACGCCGTTATATTATCTTCTCTTTTCTTTTTCTCTCAACTTGATTTTGTGATTGGAAATCAACTGATAAACAGCAAGATTGTTAGATCCTGCATTTAAGCTCCTGGTGTTTGGTAACATTAAATTTATGCACTACAAATAATAAATTCGTAGATGAGAACTTAATCTTAAGGAAAAGCAAATGTGAAATGGAGATCGGATCCTGGTTGGAGGAGATGACGAGATGCTCTACTCAAAATCAAAGGAGCTGAACTCAATCCATTTTACTAGATAAACTTTGTATTTAACAGTATAACACAAACACCACATATGCTGGAATTCAACACGCTCCTCAAGAACCTATTTACTCTGAATAATACGAGTAAATTGAGTCATACAGATGAGGAACTGAATTTGAGCTGTACAAGTCTTGTGATCACTTAGTTGAGTGAGGACAAAAGCAAGTTTATCAGTATCATTACAACTTAGACCTATCTTACACTAGCCGCAGCATCCACCTCTTTGAGCAACCGCTCCATCCCGTGGACCAGCTGGACCTTGGGTTCGTCCATACCCAACCTTGATTCCAGATGACTGCAAGAGTACGCAATGGGATATGTTAGACAATGCACCAATGATAAAGTTCATCCCAGAGGGAAAAAAAAGGATAACTGTGTCAAGATCGGAAACAACTCCCCAGGTTTGGACACGGACACCCAGATTCATGACTACCAAAACTTACCCTTCCATTTATAGGAAGTCATCAATCAACTAATCGATAATTTTACCCAATCTTAGCTGGCCATATCCAAGCTTGCAAAGTGCAAACAAAAGATCTTATCCTAATACTCGCACAGATTCTAAAAGAGATGCCCATGAAAGCAGTACAATCGGCAACGATGAAAATGCATTGTCATACATTTCTGAGAGAAACTAATTGTTTACCTCGTTGGAGACATCAAAAACACCTTCTTGGATCTTTTGAAGAATCTTAGCAGCAGTCTGTATAAAGGCCTGGCAATTCATTGCATTAGTAGAAACAAGCTTGTAGATAAGAGATGCCATAGGCTTTGGCTAATATGTATTACCTCCTCAACATTCTGAGCTGTTCTAGCGGATGCCTCAAGAAACAAAAGCCCATTTTCTTTTGCAAATTGTTCTCCCTCCTCTTTACTGACAGCTCTACGATGTGACAGATCACTCTTATTTCCTACTAGCATTATGGTCATATTTGGATTTGCGTGCTGCCTAGCATCTTCAAGCCAGCTGGCTAGATGATTAAAAGTCTCTCTCCTAGACAACAGAACTATTACTAGCTTTAACAAAATGCTAATGAAAAATCATATACTAGAAATGAATATCAGAAGGAAATACTAGAACCATTGGAGACAATCATTCAAAAAGATGCATAAATGTGATCAAAAAAGGAACTGATATATTGAGTGCTCTGAATCATCATGTTGACTTAACCACGTTATCAATAAACCTCATTATTTGATTAGAATACATCATTTTTAATTTGATGGAAAATCTCCCCGTCCAGTTATTATAGTCCAATTTATCCAACTTGTTAATTATACTCCAACAATCCAATATTGAGTATGAGAAATCTCAAACATACTTCTCTTATTACAATCTGCTAAATGTGCACATAATACACAAATAACACACACTTCATGGAATTAATACACTTCTGCTATCATGGTTTTCATGTACAACTCAAACATTCTAAAGTTGCTTGTGTCACTTTCAGGTAAACAACAGCCAATTATGATTAGCCTTAACAAGAACCAATGTTGATACAGCAAATTATAAGTTATTCCAGGTTTACTCCATGAGATGTACTAGAATACGCTAAGCTTTTACATGTCATCTGATTTCTGCATATTTATTACTTGAAGGGAAGTGGAATACCTACAGGAATCGTCAATTAGTATTTAATATGATCAGCCCTGCTTGGCATGTCAGACTAATTTTGCCTCTACAATAAGCAAACTTCTGCTTAAGGGGACTTGACATAAAGAGGCAACAGGGACCGAAAATCATCTCTTACATCAAGTTTCTCCAAAGATAATGACTAGACTGTTCAAAGAATGTGTCACTTACCTGGTGATGTCATAAACCAGAAGCGCGCCAGCAGCTCCCCTGTAATATGACCTGGTGATGGATCTGAAAGATTCCTGTCCAGCCTAGAGAAAGAAAGACGCATGGAGAGAAAGAGAGTTTTAGATCGCTGTAACTGAAGTACCAGATCATATCCTAAATATAATGCTCAATGGCGAAGAAATGAATTTGAAATGAAAAAGATACTCAGTTTTTCAGCAATTATCAATGTACTAATACATCAAGTATAACATGTCATATATACCCTCTGTGCATAACTTTTATCCGTATCTTCCGTTATTCAAGAGTCGGAGAAAACAATAGTTGATCAAGAGTTTAATGTAAATATGACGGCGCTTTAGAGCAGGAACACCTTATAATACTAGTTTCTTACAATGCAAATTTTATTTCAAAAAGCAGATTTAACTTATGTCCATTTAAAGTCCAAAAGTTGGTCCAACTGACCATCAAATAGTGAAAAGGGACAAAAGTTAAGGTATCAATAAGGTTGTCCTTTAACATAGAGATAACAAGTTAGTTTGACATAAGTCTATATCAATCA